AAGCGCGTAAGCGGGCTTTCGTCCATCGTGCAGGTAAATAACCAGCGATCGACCGACTGAGACGTTTCACTTGAAATGGAAAACGATCTGCTAACTGATTTAAAGTCCGATACCAATACAGAAATGCGTCTGCATTCCTTCACTAATATTTAATGTTCATCGTTTATGACGCATAATTTTGGCAGAAATTTTGAATAGCCTGATATTATGCATGCCCATAAGCACATGGACCCTGATTAAGCTAATGGCACTACGTTCAACTGTTCAATTAGTCACACCTTCTATTCAGAGGGCCGATGACATGAAATTCACGCTGAGGTGAATATGAAAAGTAATCTGCATCGGCAATTCCTCATGGTTGACCATCAGCTCTAACACAACGCTTGGAGTTCCGAGTAGTCCAGTTTTCGATACAAGCGACACTTGATATGTCGGGCGTGTCAAACGAGCAGCAGACATGCGCGGTTACTTCCCTCGTTCATAAATACACTTCTCATGAGTAAGTATGTTTGGTCGTCCTCTCTTCATAATATGCCATACAAACAATGAGGGAATTTTGTAACCGGTGTATTGTCCTGCCACTATGACATAAGTTAGTTATTTCCCAAGTCCACAACACCCTCCATGACTCCAGTTCTACTTGAGAAGGAACCTCAATAGTTCAGCTGTTGAAAATAAACCTAAGTCATTGTTGGTGGAACTTTATTTCCTTGTTGACTGGTTGTTACTTTTGTTCTGTCGCTGTCATGTGAAAAATGCTTGCAGGGATACTTTTTGCTATCAGCATGCAAGGCTATACGTTTGTATTTACCCTGGAAGTCAGGTTAAACCAATCAACACTTTTCTTCTCCTTTATCGGCGTAGTCTTCTTATTTTCTTTAGTTTGTACCTGATCTGACGGTGAGCCATCTCCTCTCTAATCAAAACTCGAGGGACGAGGAGCTTAGAACAGGAAGAACGACGCCAGACCGATTAACGAGAAATTTTGCTTTTCTGGTAGACACTGCCGCTTAGGAGGGTAATTTTTTGTGTACAACGATAAGTTTCTAACGCCACTCTAGTATGGCCAGCATAAAACATTTCAGGAAACACGCCCGTAGATATTCAGACCTTCCTGCAAAATCGAAAGAATAAAATTCGACAGATGCTGAATGACAAACCTCAAGTTCAGACTGATTATTGATGTAGATTCTGTCGCGGTCGAACATGACCATCTAATTTTCCGTCCAGTACACAACGATGCCGAGCGAAACGTGAACATGGTTGGTCAAAATGAATTGATTCGTAGAAGGAAATCAACAGTGCTAAGCCAATCACTTGGCCAGACAATGCTTCTCCTTCCTACGGCTCCACTGGATAGTAATGGACCGCGTTATTGATGAACAGCGAGAGAAAAAAATCGATTTCTGATACATCAAGTGTAAACGAGTCCCTGCTGCTACAAGTTAATCATCTGCAAAGCTGGAGTCATGAATTAATCTGCGTTCAGGGCAGATATCCGCCATAACTCATGAAGACTCATAAAGAAGAACATGTATCATAACGTAAAGTGGCACTTTTGTTTACGACTGAATTTTAGATAAAAGTTTATAAATAAAGAAGGTACGATATGAACTAAAATTTTTTAAAAATATGCCAAGTTCCAAATTACTTTCTTATTAAATACCTAATAACTTTTTTATATGCTCAACTGTCTGCGTACTTATTTAATTTCTTACTCAGATCCGTATTTGCTTACTTACTTACACACTCACCTATTAACTTTTTTGTTGCCGACAGGCTTTGAAAGCAATCTCAAGCGAAACGACCTATAATAAAACGCTAAAAGAAAGGATAGGATTCCACTTGTTTCTTCAGAAATTCAGAACATTTATTGCTTTTCCAAAAACTTTTATGTACACTTAAAGGCAGAAAGAAAGTTCATGTATAACGGAGGAAGACCATGGATCGCCGTATCAACTTCATTTTTTCTATCGACCTTCAGATGCGTTCAATTCAGCTGTTATTTAATCATACTATGTTTTAAGATATGCCTGATACCCTCAACCTTCTCACCTTCAGACCGGGGCTGATCGGTCGGCAGAGCGTCGAACTCAGAACCGAGAGGTCTCGGTTTTGAACACCGGACGAATCACTCGCCTTCCTTCCCTTCGAGTTTAATAAATGAGAACTACTATGTGAAATGCAAAGGGACAACACTCCATGTGTGTCGTATAACTGTAGACTCCATCTTTAAAATGATTTGCTTGTGGCAGATGACATGGAAATGGAGATCAGAGCTGCACAATGAACTTGAGGGGTAGAAAGGAGCTGCAGGTAGTAGAAAGGTAATCCCATTCATGAAAACGTAAGAGAGGCTGACATTCCAGCGGTCGAAAACTTTTCTTGTTCCTTTCTCCTCTTTCAGCAATGTTCAAGATAAGCTATTACACTAAGGCTAGTGACATAAGGTGAACGTTTGTCTCGCCGTTCCTTTCACAAATTCAAATACTTTTTGATATTGATAAATAAACAAAGCTGTTGACATTAAATAAATGACACCCAGTGGCTTTTGATCGGCACCATAAATGCCCCCAGGCGACCCAAAGTAGCTGTTGGAGCGATGTACGAACTTTCTTTGTCTGTTATTTTGATAGATACTTAGTGTTTATATAGCACAACAGATAAGTTAGACAAGCAACAACTGTCACCTTGCTCTCTGCCGATTTTCGAAGTTTTCGACTCAGAGAGTATTGGATTCCCTGGGAATCAGGAATCAAGAAAAAACTGAAACCTCAGCACCACGGTTTACAAAAATGCAGCCTGCTAAAGTGAAGCATTAAGAAAGCAAAAGCAAGTTCAAAATTGAAAACAGCGTCAGAGAGGATGAAGCAACATCACCGACGTTAATCCCAGCAGCCGTAGTATAGGTTTAAAAGAAAATTCACTGCGAAAATCAGGTATCGAAAATAAGTACGCAGTACTTGAGCTATTTGAAATTTGCAGATGACGTTCTGATCCTCTCAAGAATACCAGAAGAAGTCAAAAATGTTCAAGAGCCGAGTGACGTCAGATTTTAGGCAGGACTGAAGATGAACTTGAACAGGGATTAGCACATGTTTAACAAACACGTCACTCTAAGGACTTAGACTTGAGGAGGGGCAAAACAATGTGTACCTAGGAACATCTCATCACTGAAACTGAAAATCGACTCTGCGAAATCCACACAGAAACAAAATGGCATGGAGTACTTTAGGGAAATTGTAAAAGTTCTTATTCACGAAACTGCCTTGTGTTTGAGGTGGCAAATATTCGATCAATGTGTACGCCAAACGTTAACTTAAGGGTGCGAAACGTAGGTCCAACGCCTGAAAGCTATTCACGAACTAGAGACTGTGAAACGCAGAGTGGAAAGATGTATGTTTGGAATAACAGGAAAAGGTAAAAAACGAATGCTTCGATGAGAGCACATACAAATCTGGAATATCATTAAATGAATGAAAACGTTAGCGTTGGAATAGTTACGACACGTTACAAGAAGAATTTACTGTTGTTGGACGAGAAAGACACTAGGCTAGATTCCAAGAGAGAGTAAGCTGCCTGTAGGAAGTCCTCCAGATCGAAGGCACGATGAGCTGAAGAAGTTTGCGGAATCAAGATGGACAGAAATGGCAGAAAACAGAAATTTAAGGCAAAGCCTGGCCGATGGTGAAATGAAACAATTAAGTTTAATAACCTTTTAATCAGACAAACATGAAGTACAATTTTTGCCAAAGAAAGTCCATTTTTCCCAAGACCTTCCTGCGACCCTCAGGAACATCCCCGCAACCCTCATTTTGGACACGACTCCGCATTTTGGAACCGGTGGTCTAAAATTACCTTTAGTCGTGTATTCTTGGTTCGCACTCAAAAAATATGTTTAAAAACGGCGATACGGAAATGAATCAAGAAAATTTATGCCACTAAAACCAATTCATATTCAAAGAATTTCCGCACTGCCGCTGTTGATGTTCAGGCGTTTAATAGATTTTTTGCAGACGTTTTTTTTGTTCGTATTATTCCTTTTAGTACTCCGCAGAGCTGATTCTAGATTTATAGCCATTCCCCTGTCGTCGCCCATCTTCGCAAAATTTACAGTTTTCGCTGGTGGTCTTGAGCGGTAGATTCAGGCAGGCAGTATTCAAAGCCTTCGCAATTAATAAGTTGCCTGAGATTTTTTTGACGCAACAAGAGTCTCAGTTTTGTGCCACTGAAGGACTAACAGCAGCAAATTGCGTACCA